TGGCCCAGGAGACCCTCCATACTTCACCCTCCACACCTCCTGGCCCACGAGATCCTCCTTACTTCACCTTCCACACCTCCTGGCCATGAAGATCCTTCCAACTTCACCCTCCAAACCTCCTGGCCCAGGAGACCCTCCTTATTTCACCCTTCACACCTCCTGGCCCTGGCAACCCTCCTTACTTTACCCTCCACACCTCCTGGCCCAGGTTTCCTTCACCGTCCCCTCCCCACTTCCTGTCCCCAGGGTTATCCTCCACATCCTGCCTGCCCTCTCCTTCCTCTTCTTGGCCCCTGCCCCCAGTATCCTTCTCCCCATTCCCCTTCTCCAGGATTCTCTCCTCCTTCCCGTCTCCATCCAAAACTTCCTCCTAAATACCTGTTTCCCCACCCCACCCTTACCCCTTCACACTAGGCCCCAGCCCCCCCTCATTGGGGAACCTCACTAAAAGAGGTTGATAGTTTATAGGCAATAGTTCATATTTAAAGAACATGTGCATGAAATTACAACAAGTGTTCATTCCTGTCTAGCACAAAAATAAGGTGTGTAGCAGATAACATATTAGTACTGTTCAAGAATTGGTTGACAGACAGGAAAGAGAATAGGAATAAATAGATCTTTCTCTGACTGGCAGACAATGACTTGTGGGTTATCGTAAGGATTAATGCTTGAGCCCTAGCAATTCATGACATATATTAACGACCTGGATTAGGGACCCAAAATGCAATATTTCCAAGTTTGTTGATGACACAAAGCTAGGTGGAATTGTGACTTATAAGGAGGAGGCAAGGAGACTTCAAATTGATTTAGACAAGTTGAGTGAGTAAACAAGCACATGGCAGAGACAATACAACATGGCTAAATTTAAGTTATACACAGATTTCCCTTCTTACACTCACACCTGACTTCCAGCTGCCCTGCCCCATTTAGTCCCTCCAACCCCACAAGAATTGCTTTCGTACACCCGTCTTCCCTTCCCAGTGTCCCCACTTCAGCCTTTGCTCCCCTGTCCTCAACCAGTGTCCTCATGATTTCAGTACTCCTTCTCCACCACAACCACCCTCTCTAGTGCCCCTTGCCTATCCTCACACCCTATCCCTATATGAATCCTCTATTTCCACTGTAATTCCCTTTTCTCATCCTGACCCAGTAGCAGCCTTATCAACTATCCCCATATCCTCCCTGTTCCTCAGTCCATACCCCTATTATTACCCCTCTCACCACTTTCCCCCAGTCCCATCCCCATCACAAGCCATACTCCATTTCCATTCTCCAAACCAAATGCTCCCAGTAGCCTTCCACATGCTGTTTGTTCACAGTAACCAGAACATTAGCCTTTCTTATCACCACCTGCTACAGTACCATCACCTAATCAACTTTTTTCAGGTAGTAACTAAAAATAGTTGACAGAGTAAATTGTGTGGTCCATGGCAGAGTTCACGGTGTAGTTTATTGGAACTTTCAGAAGGTCGTACAAGAAAGTCTACAAACTCAATTTAAGGCTTCTGAATTAAGGTCAAAGTATTTACCTGGTTTAGGGAATGGCTAGGCAGTAAATGACTAAGTGTAGATAATGGACATTGACTTGAATTGGAACGCAGTGATTCAACAACAATTCATGCTCAGCTTCAAAATACGTAACAGATGGCACATATCCAAAATTGTCTAAGGCACAAACATCTGTGGCACAGAATGTGGTTTATAAGCATATTGTAATTTTAAATATGAGAAAAAAATCTGTGGGTAGCTCGACTTCAATTTAGATAAGATAGATCATTAATTTGGACCATTAAATTGAAAGATCCAAGTTTTATTTCAGCAGTGATGATCCTCAGAGATTTCAACATCCTTCAGCACAGACCATAAGCAGGTAGCAACTACGTACAAACAATGATCAAAGAGAGCTAATAGAATGTTAGCCTTACAATCAGTAGGTTAGAAATATGAAGAGCTTATGCTACAGCCTTCAAAGTCCTGGTTAGAACACATCAGTCTGTGTGGAGTTTGTATGTTCTCCCCGTGTTTGTGTGGATTTCTGCCCAGTGTGCAGTTTCCTTCCAAAGTCTAAAGATATGCAGGTTAGGTGGGTTGGCTATGCTAAATTATTCCATAGTATCCAGGGATTTGCAGGCTATGTGGGTTAGCCATGGGAAATGAGGAGTTACGGATAATACGGTGGGGGTGTGAGTCTGGGTGGGATGCTCTTCGGAGAGTCAATGCACACTCAATTGGCCAAATGGCCTCTATGTGCACTGTAGGGATTCTAGGAGCTCAGAGTTCACTTTGAGATAACTTATATTAGTCTTGGCAGGAGTAGAAAATGGATTCATCAGAACATTACCAGACCATTTTGCTCAGAGCAACAAATAAAGCCACATTGTCAAAAAGTCAGCAGATGCTTTAAGTTCTGGTCACACTTGTGCTCCAAATGTATCTGGAATACTCCTCTCCTGTAAAGGTGCAGGCTTAGGCAAGAAGTTTAAATGTTTTGTTTTGTGTAAATCACTAATGTGAGGGACACGTGAGTGTGTATAGACATTGGCTATATGAACTTCCAGGAGGCATTTAACATAGCCCTGCATTCGAGATTATTGAAGTCAATGCAGAGGAAAATCAAGTTGTGCCTTAATGCCAGTAGTTAATGGACAACACAAGCATGTGATCAGTGAGTGTATAACAAGCAGCATGGCTATACAAGCACAGGATCTGTGACAGGCAAGACATGTAAAGGAAGGAGTAGGCAGGGTATACCAGGTCGTCGATTCACCTGATTTTGCTCTCATCGTAAGGAATTTAGCCATATGACGTCTGTTTCCAGGTGGTGATAAGGGCAAGAAAACAATGGCACTAAGCACTGGGTAAAACCACGTTTTTCCAATCAACTGACCAATGAAGAATTTTAAAAAGAAACCTCCCAAAGTGGGTGGGTGAAGTGGGAATGTGCTGAATCCCACTGTGGATCTTGTTTATATCATAGGTAGATTTTATCAGTTTATTTAAGTGGCTCTTTTGAACAATGGAAACAATAATAATCACTTTGTTCCATAGGGATTTACTGTGTGCTCACTGTTGGTTGTTGTGTACAGTGTGTTTCAGTTCCCTGCATGTCATGCAGACCATTGGGAATTAGTATGTTTAGTTGCTGTACAAATCACGGAGGATGACAAAACAGGCAAAACATCCATGTTTTGGCATGAGTCAATCATAAGCAGACTCAGGAAATGGCCATTAGTACCCAACAAGTCTATTCCATCTTCCTCAATCCCATTTTCTCTTCTTTCCTCCCACCCCATCAAGATCTCCCTCAACCCTACCACCTCCCCAGCTCCAACACCGCAGCTCCCCAATGTCTCCCCTGCCTCACCATCTCCTTCAGTCTGGTAAACTAGTTACACACCAATCCCCTTGGAATTCCAAAGGCCCTCTTGTGGTTCAGTGGTACTGTCCCCAACCCTGGACCAAGAAGCCTGGGTTCATGTCCCACCTGCTCCACGGGTATGCAAGAACATCTCCAAACAGGATGATTAGAAAAGTAGGTTAAAAAAGGGCCCTTTTGAGGGGCAGTGATATATTGTTCCCTAACCCTAGACTGGGAGGGCCAGGTTTAAATCCCAACTGCTCCAGAGTTATGTGATAGCAGCTCTGAACGGGTTGATTAAAAATACTTAGTGCTGTGATGGCCAAGTGGTTAAAGCATTGGACTTGAAATTCAATCAGATCTCCCTAACCAGGTTCAGACCCCACTCACAGCGACAAATGTTTAGGGTTCTTGTGGCACTGTGGTATCTCTGCTTGCTGAGCAAGGAGACCTAGGTTCAAGTCCCACCTGCTCCAGAGGCAGCCCTGTACAGGTTGATACTGAAAATGTCTAAAATGCTGCAGTTAGCTGGTAGTCGCTTAGGACCTCTGGTGGTGCAGTGGTAGCGTTCTTACCCCTGGCCTGGCAGGCCCAGGTTCAAGGTGTGTAATAACATCTCTGTACAGGTTGATTAGAAAAATAGATTAAATTAAAATAAACAAGAGATTCACCCATGTAAGGTAATACAGGCAATTCCACTCCCTGCATCTGCTTTTACTATCAGCTTTCAGCAGACATTGGTCAAGAGTAGGAAACTTGGCTGATAGTGATTCCTGAGGTTCAGACACCATGCACAGAATTCAGCTAATGCTACACAGTGCTAAGACTCAGATATTTGGCAGGAATAACTAACTCGTCAACTCTAAAAGGTAAAATCCTATTAAAATTAACTCTTAAAACTCTTCCATTACAGTTCATTTTTATTATTCTGTAGAAACTCTTAATATACCAAGCCAAATCTTTATTATGGCTGCTCCATTTACAGTTTGCCTCTGTTTTGTCTTTAAACCATGAAATGCACTCAGCACTGAGGAATCATAATGCATTAACAGGCATTTAGCTCATCTTTACAAAAACAATCAGTAAAACAATGTTACAAAAATATATATGAAATAGAAAAATACAAACTTAGACTATTTTCATCTTGCTCCAATACACTGACCATTCAGGGTGCATTCCTTAAGAGGTTGAAAGCAATCAAAATATTTCCCTGGTCTAGTTCCAAATTGATATCCACCTTGCAGAACCCAGAACAGAATTAAAAGGGCTTTACAGAAATTTTCAAGTTTGGGGCCTGACAGAACTGGAAGCACATTAAAGGAGTGCACTTGAAAGGAAGTAGAAACAGGAAATATGCTGCAGATTAAGAAGTATCTATGGATAGAGAAACACAATTAACATTCCAGATTGATTGCCTTTAATGCTGCCTGGCTTGCTTAGTTCATCCAGCATTTTCTGTTTTTTCTTTCAGATTTCCTATCATTTGCAATATTTCACTTTTCTAATATTCGTAAGTCTTCATTGCCTTTTAAGTATTTTATTGCATTTTCCAATATTCTTTACCATCTGGGTCAATGTAGATACAAATGGACTGAATGGCTTCATTTGCTGTTTTCCTTGAAAATGCCCTTCTTTACAAACAGTGATCAAGAAACTTGACTGATTGTAACTTCCTAGTCCAAGTGTAGCAGCTCTGTTATTGCATCAACTAATGTTGCTAACTCAGCTCACTCTAGGGATACACCCTGGAATCTCTGGTCTGAACATATAATGCCCAGTTGGAATACTGACCCATAAGGCTACAGTGTAAACATTAAAGAAGATGCTGAAATATGCATTCTCAGAAACAAATGGTAGTTACATTGCATCCTCGGATAAAATGGCTACAGATGGAAAAATTAGATGTTACCAGTGGAAAATCTCTGGCCACTGTTCCCTGATGGATGAAGATTTGTTTAACTCTCATGCAAAATACACAAAAGCATTGAAGAAGCACCTTCATCATGCAGAATGCCACAGTTCAAGAAAAAAAAAACACATCATTACCTCTTCAAGGCAACTGAGAATGGGTAATGAATGACATTATTGCCATTTGTACCTTTGTCTAGGCAAAATCACATCAATTTCAGATTTGAAATTATCATAGATCATAGATTCCCTACAGTGTGGAAACAGACCCTTCAGTCCAACAAGTCCACACTGACCCTTGGAGCATCCCACCCAAACCCATTCCCCTATAACCCACCTAAGCTACACATCCCTCAAGACTACAGGCAATTTCCCATGGCCAATCCACCTAGCCTGCACATCTTTGGAGTGTGGGAGGAAACCCACGCAGACATGGGGAGAATGTGCAAACTCCACACAGACAGTCGCCCGAGGGTGGAATCAAACCCGGGTCCCTGGCACTGTGAGGCAGCAGTGCTAACCACTGAGCCACCGTGCCAGTTAAAATCTACAATTCTTTTGAGAAACAGTATTCCACATTTCTACCTGTGTGTGTGTGTGTGAAGAAATGTTTCCCAATTTCCCTTCTGAATGGACTGGGTTAATTTTAGGTTGGATCCTCTTGCCCTATAAACTTCTACAAATCTCTCTATTCATTAATTCCTTTCAAAACCCTAAACTCCTCAATATCGTCATCACTTAACCTTGAATGTTCCAAAAAAAATTCAAGACTGGATTATGTGATCATCCTCAATGTAACACTTGGAGCCCGAATAAAATTCTGGTAAACCAGCCTCTGACAGCAGCAAGACTGATTGATGCAGAGGGGTTCACTGATTTTAGGAAAGCCCAATTACTCTGAAATGGGTGCAACACTTACTCCAATCCTCAGTGATTTTATAGAATTGTCCAAACCGCAGATAAGAATAAGAGAGTTGACAAAAAGCAGGTACACACTGCCTTGACAATGTGTCAGTCTTTGCACGCAGCGGTGACTGTATTATCCACTGAGCCCATAATATTGTAGGTTTCAGAATTTCAGAGACCACACTCCAGAGTTTCCTCTCAGCTGACACAGCAGTACTGTAGTACTGAAGGAATGCTGTACTGGCTATTACTCTCAGTGTCTGTGGGGTTCAGTTCCACACTGGGCAGTGCTTTCCAGCTCCATGCATAGATCTCAATCCAAATCTGATCCTTTCTTCATGTGGTATATACACATACATAATACACACATGTATATAATAGGGACCAGGAGCAGGAACAATGGGCTACTCATCCCTCCCTGGTCTGAGGCATTAATGTGAACTGTACTGCCTCGTCAATTAAGATGAGCAAACAGCACAGGATGACTTTTTCATGAACATGAAACCAGCAACAAGCAAACATTGTAATTGTATCTGAAGGCAAGAATAATTGGCAAGTCAAAAATGGGAAGAAACTTGCACTTTCAATCGGCATTTTGTTTGATAAAAATGAGAAAGCGGATAGATTCACATGTAAACTGGTTAGATTGTGGCATTCCCCACTACATGAATCAGGCTGCAGGGCCGATCTGTTTGTTACTGGCACTTCATTTGAGTATAGAATCCTGATGAGAGACAGAACAGAGTGATCATGGATAAAATTGCAATGCTCAAAAAACATTTCAAATGCTGCATACTTTTGCACTGGTTGAAAAGGGTGTTAAGCGTAAAACATGAGGGAATTGTTGAGAGATAGTAGGAACTGCAGATGCTGGAGAATCTGAGATAACAAGGTGTAGAGCTGGATGAACACAGCAGGCCAAGCAGCATCAGAGGAGCAGGAAGGCTGACATTTCGGGCCTAGTCCCTTCTTCAGAAATCATTTCTGAAGAAGGGTCTAGGCCCGAAACGTCAGCCTTCCTGCTCCTCTGATGGAATTATTGAGAGTCAGATTTGATTTACATCTGATCAGCTGACTTATATTGTCACCACAATCTGCAGTATAGATTCTAGATTGAATTGAAATCTTGTGGAATGAACTGACCTTTCTGCAGGTCATTGGGCATAACATATTACAGTATGTTCACATGATAAGGCACTGCATCAAAACACCAAATAATTTCATAGTCTGCCTACATCTGGTTGTCATAGTAGCACTTTTTAAAAAAAATTGTCCATGAATCCAAAATCTTCACCCGTAAATTACAAAGACCTTGGGCTTCTCTTCAGTGAATACTGCATTGTCCGTGCTTTCTATAAGGATGTGCTTGTCGTCTAATTTGAGCATTGGAGCGACGCAAACTCCCTCTTGTGCCTTGAGTGTCTTTGGCAAGTTCTTCAGGCTGAAATTTAGGTCTTTAAAGACATGAAGCATGAATACACCAAGGATGATGGTTCCGAAGCCAGTGACAGTACCCACAATATCGATAGCAGACATGCTGTACCACTCTTTGAACAGGATGACTGACGTGGTGATAACTACTGTGGTGAAGAACACATAGTAAATGGGGTAGACCACTGAGGTATTGAAAATGTCAAGGGATTTGTTCAAGTAGTTGACCTGGGTGATGATGGAGGCCAGCAGAGAGAAGATGAGAATCCAGGTTAACGGGTGTTTGTACACCGGGAGATTGGCGAAGTACCCTCGAATGGAAATGTCGATTCCTTTCACAGAGGAAACAGAGAAAGCCCCAATGAGGGAGCAGATGCTAATGTAGACAAGGATGTTGGTGTGTCCATGTCTGGGGGCCGTGTAGAAGATGAGGAAGAGCACTGTGATCAGTAAGAGGCAAGCAAACACCAGGAACCCTGAAGAATAAAACATTCATTGAAATGGATTATTAATCGTGTCCACCCATTGAGAACACCCCACACTGTTCCTGACCTCAACTCTCCCTCCTAACCCCATCTACTGTCCGATTGTAATACTTGGACTTTAAGAAACTGATAAGCCCTTGTTTTAATTGTGCATTCACTGATGGGACTCCTGGGGAATTGAACACCTTCATATCCAAGTGTGGGAGCAGCTGGTTAGCAGGTTAAGGGGCAAGTAAAAAGGTCTACTAGTGTAATGGCTACTTATTGGTTTAATAATCCCAGGAAAGTTAGCTCAAAACCTACCATGGCAGTAGGTTTATGCCAATTTATGAGGATTTATGCCAATTTTATTAAAAGATTCGGAAATTAAAAAGCAGGAATCAGTTAAAGTGACTGTGAAGTTGTTGGACTGTCATAAAACCCCCGGTTCACTAATGTCCCTTTTGGGAAGGAATCCTGCATCTTTACTTGGTCTAGGCCGAAATGTGGCTGATTCTTAACTGCTCTTTGAAGTGGGGCAGCAAACTCAATTTACATTGAAACCTGTTACCAATGGTTTAAAGAGATGTCCCACCACCAGGGGTGAGCGATAAATGCCACCTTTGCTAGCAACATCCACAACTCTGCAGTAATTCTTAAGCAAATGAATTAAGCCCCAACTGGGTTTCCAAACTAACCTGGTTCTTTAAGCTTCAGTGCCATTTCTTCCAGTGTTTTCACCTCCTCCTCTTGAGGTGCATGAATCACCATGATGGTTGACCCTAGGATGCACAGAACACATCCCATCTTCCCCAACAGGTTCAGTCTCTCTTGCAGGAGGTAGGATGACAATACAGCACTGTACACCAGAGTGGGAAGAGAGGGGGAAATAAGGAGAGAAACCAGCAACAGAAAAAGCATTCCAAACATTTTGCTGAAAAAACAAATATCAATGAGTCTAGCCTCAGTGTGGCATGGAGACGAAGGAGGTGGGGTATTAACTGGTGGTATGTGGGAGAATGAGCTGGGGGGCAGAAAGGAAATTATTGATAAGGTTCCTCAACAACAGTTTGATCTATCTGTTGCCACTCTTGTCTCTCTTAGACTAATCTGGGCCAGCACTGAAGGAGTGCCGCCTTACTGAAGGTGTCTCTATGAAGAAGCCTGTTCTACCTGTTCTAGGGTGTAGAAAACAGAAAGATGATAGGATTAGTAACAGGATCTCCCCATTGAAATCAATCTCCATTTAATTTGACTCTCTGAGATGCGGCACAGTGGTCCAGTGGTTAGCACTGCTGGCTCATAGCACGGGGGGCCCAGGTTTGACTCCACTCCTGGCTGACTGTCTGTATGGAATGTGCGTGTTCTACCTGTGTCTGCATGGGTTTCCACCGTGTGCTCCAGTTTCCTCACACATGCAGGCTAGATGGATTAGCCATGGGTAATGTGGGGTTATAGAGATAGGGTGGGGGCTGGGTCTGGGTGGGCATGCCCCTCAGAGGGTTGATGCAGACTCAATGAGCCAAATGGCCTCTTTCTGCACAGTAGGAATGCTATGATTCTATGCACACTTCACCATTTTCTGAGGATATTTACTTCAAAGAATGAGGTAAAATTACTGGTAACATTAGAACTGTTTGTATCATGTGGGTGGTCACTGGAAGGGTTGTCATCTAGAACCTATTCTTCACCCATCTTTAGAAATTTGTCTTGGCTGTGATGGGCTCCACAGTGGACCATCCTGCAACTTTCACAGTCAACTTGTAATGACAGATTTTAACAAAGTAAAATGTTCCAAGGACAATCACAGGACAGTAAACAAACACAGATTGAGACTAGGCCTCATAACGAGCTATTACTCAAGTTGAAAGATGGTGTAATGCAAATGAAAATTCTAAAATGCCAGGATTGCAATGGCACCTGTTGGCTTCATTGGGCATACCTGACCAGGACACTGAGTGCTCCGAGTGGAGTGACAACTGTTGCAGGAGCAAAAGCGTACGCAGCAAAGTTCATCGCTTCTCCAATGCCCACTGGAAGAGACAGAAGACTCAGAATTAGTGTGTTGTCTGATATAAAATATTAATTTATGCAGTGCCATTCTTTTTTATTTTCTTGAAAAAATTGTTCTGAGGATGTGGAGACTCTGGAGTTTATTTCCCAGGTATACCTTGAGAAGGTAATGGTGCTGAATCTTCTTCTAGAGTCCATGTGGCATAAATGCTCCCGCATCACGTTAAGGATGGTGTTCCAGGATTTTGAATAGCAACAGTAAAGGAATAGCAATACATTTGCAGATTGGAGTAGTGTGCAAGATTTGGAGCCGAACTTCCTGATGGTGGTGGCGGTATTCCCTTATGCTTCTACGTGATAACGATCTCAGGCTTTGAGAGGTGCCATCAAAGGAGCCATGGTAAATTGCTGCAATGCATCTTGTTAGATGGTATACACTGCTCTGCAACTGCATGGCAGTGGTGAACAGAAGGATATGCTGGATATCTTAAGCTTTTTGAGTGTTGTTGGACCTACACACATACAGGAAAGCAAGATGTATTCCACTGTACTGTTAGTTTGTGATTTTTTTTTTTCCTTTGTTCATTCACAGGATGAGGGTGTCGCTGGCTAGGCAGCATTTATTGCCCATTCCTAACTGGCCAGAGGGCAGTTTAGAGTCAACCACATTGCTATGGGTCTGGAGTCACATGTAGGCCAGACCAGTTTCCTTCTCTAAAAGACATTAGTGAACCAGATGGGATGTTCCAACAATCTGCAATGGATTCACGGTCGTCATTAGACTCTTAATTCCAGATACTTATTGAATCCAAATTCCACATCTGCCTTGGCAGAATGCAAACCGAGGTCCCCAGAACATTATGTGGGTCTCTGGATTAACAGTCCAGCAATAATACCACTAGGTCAGTGCCTTCCTCCCACTACACATAGTGGAAAGCCTACCTGGAATCAGAAAGTGAGTTACTCGATACAGAATAACCATCCACTGACTTTCTCCAATTAGACAGCATTTTTAAAGATGATTCACTTCAAAATGTAGGGAATTATCTGGTTCAGCATTACATATGCTGGCTGACTATAACAGAGGATACCAGCAGTCGATGATTCCCTTTAGTTACATATCTCCGTAACAAAGGTATTTTAGGGTTTTACTTACTTTATAATCAACAACTTTTGAAATAATAAGACATTTTAAGGAGCCTCACAGGACTGTTATTGAACAATGATGGAGATAAAGTCACGGAAGGGGATGTTAGGATGGATGACCAAGAGCTGAGTCAAACAGCTACATTCTGAGGAGTATCTTAAACGAAATGAAGAGGTTTAGAGAAGAAATTCCAGAGTTTAGGACCAGGGTAACTGAAGGCATGGCTACCAGTTAAATTAAAATCTCAGATACGCAAAATGCCAGAGGAGTACAGAGCTTTTGGAGATTTATGCGAGTTTAAGGGATTAGAGACAGGGAGAGATTGGAAATAAAGGATGAGAATTTTGAAATTAAAACATTGCCAGACCAGTAACCAATGGAGACTGCAGAAACTCTGTTGACGGTTCTAGAGGACTTAGTAAGAGTTAGGATTCAGGCAGCAGTTCTAGATGAACATGTATTTATGTGGGATGGAAGCAGGGAAGCTACCCAGGACAACATTAGAAGTCTAGAAAAAATAAATGCAACACCTCGGCTAGATAACTATCAAACCCCAGAGTTTCTTTTGCTATGGAGCTAGTTACTAATGCCAGACTAGGAAATAAATTATTAAAACTATTCAATAGATCTGGGTTCCAAATGTCGTGATCAAATTTGAAGAAATGAAGAGGCTTGGTTTGTTCATGTTCTCATTGCATTATCTACAGACTCTGGCACCCAACAACTCTGCCGCTGAACTGAAACTGACTTCTTTCAACTTGCTCATGTTAGACTTGCTTTGGTTTTAATAATACTTGAGAATATTACTTCAAACAATTTAATCTTTTTTTTCCAGCCACAAGATCTATGTCATGTTAAATGATGCCCAAACCAACAGCATAAGCACCACCATTTTAAATCATCCATTCAAACAGATCAGCCATGATCTCACCAAACGGCAGAGAAGGCTCCAGGGGCTGATGGGCCTCCTCCTGTTCCAATATAAACTTTATTTGATTCCTTTTATTCATGATATTCCTGGCCCTTCCCTGTTCTGCCCGCCAGTCAAAAAAGGTTTCAGTTTACACATAGGACACATCATGATTCGTCTTCAGGGTCCCACCAGCATATAAAATAAGCCAATGAGGGTAACAATAAGATTAGCCATCACCACAGAAGTGAAACACAGTCATAGTGAATTTGTAGAGTTAATGGATGATGGCTTTATAACTTTGTAAAAGAGCCAACAGGAGTGATTACAAGCAATAAGGCCACGAATCACCAACTCCAAGGTGGGTGAAGCTTTCAGGCTTTGATCAGGAGGGCAACAGATTGCAAAAGTTGGCAAGGTTATTAAAAACCCAAGCAAGACTGCTAAATTTCTTTTTAAAATCAGACCAACTCTATGCACTTGAGAAACTTTGTCAGAGTGACCTTGTCAGCTGTGAGTACAGCCAGGAGAGCTCAAGAGCTATTCTGTTCCTTTATGGAGGAGATTCCAAATGCAACAGGACAACATGCACCCATGCAAAGCTAAGGCAACCAGCTTCAGGACTGCTCCCTGGTTGAACATACTGCAAAGCAACTCCAAAGAACAAAAATGACTTTTCAGAAAATGATACAGCACAAGAAGGAGCCATTCAGTCCATTTTGCCTTTGCTGGATTAAGACCATGAAGGAAAATGGCACAGAAATTACAGTGAAGTGTAAAGTTGGGGGAAGTGTCTGGAAAGAAAATTGTACAAAGCAAGAGAAAATAAGTACAATAATGTTATATTAAAAGATAGCCAAAAATGAAAGATGATATAAGGTCACTGAAAGTGTGATTCAAGTGAGGGTAGGCCACCTAATGCTATTCAGGCTGCGAAAGTGCAAATGAGTTCTTTTGCCTCAATTTTAACTTTAGATGATACAGAAAAGACAATTAAAGTGGAAATGAAAAGAGAGGGTCTTGTGGAGGTGAATTGCAGCAGGTTTTGCATTGTGACCCCAGTGTGATTGCTAAACAAATGGAGGCGAATAAATCACAAGTGTTGAACGGGATTCAATCAAAAATCTTTAAGGAAATCATCATAGAATCTTATAGTATAGAAGGAGACTATTTGAACCATTGTACTGTACTGAATCTTTGTAAGACCTCTGCAATTACTCCCTTTATCCTGCCATTTCTTCTTTGAAAATGACTATTATCTGCTTCCACTAATCAAAGGCAGTTCCATCTATTTAATAAACACTTGCTACATAATTTATTTTTCACACATGTTGCTTCTGGCATTTTGGTTTAATTCCTGCATCTTAAACAGCCTAACTTTAATTTTAAGATGAATCTCCTTTCCTTATCTTGATAATCTTTCTCTACACAGCCCCTCCTCCTCCCCCCCACCCCCGCATCCCCTGTACCACGTCCTTATTGTCTGCAGGTTATGAGGGTTGCTAGCCATAATTATGGGGTAAGGTGCGGCAGGACTTAACTCAGTCGGTACAGTGTCTGACCCCACATTGTTGGTATTATTCTGCACCGCACTCCCGTTATCCATCTAACCCAATCTGCCCTTTCCTCTCTATCTAGCATATTAAATCCTCATCATGTTTTTTTTTAAAAATTGGTAGATCGTCCTCAATCTGCTAAAATCGAGGGAATACAAACCAAGAAACAGGCTAGAGAGCCCAAATAGTGAATATGCTTTCTACAAGCCTCCAAATGCTCTTTCCATCCTTTCTCAAATGTAAACAAATTCTTCCTAATGTTTCATTTAATTTGTTAATGACCTTCCTTTCTGGACTTATCCATAAGTGGGAACAGTTACTTGCACATTGATCTTATTGTTTCCCTTCAGAGTTTTAAATTTATTGTATCCCATCTCCTTTCAACTCAAATTAAACCATGAAGATATTTTTAAAAATATATATTTTATGCATGTTTGCATTTGAACAAAAGTACCTAAGAATCAGTGGAATAATAAATCAACCAGTTCTCTAAGCTTCCTAATTATGTACCGGACATGTTGTTCACCAACAGAAAATGCCTTCTCTTATTTCAGCAAACACCAATAGCAGCATTAAACTGTTCTCCAGATCTGTTACTTACTTGTTAGAAGGCCAGCCCACCACATCCAATCCTTCAGGTAACCGTGGCCACCATCCCCTGGAAAAGACAACAAGAAGGTCAAACACAAAGTCAACTTTGTTTACATAACTCCAGATCATGCAAATCACAAAAATGTAATCTAGTGGGAGCCTCATTTTGATCAAGGGATGTTTGAGATTCTGCCAATATTTATCCCTAAATTAACATCACAAAAATAGCAGCTCTGGTCGTATGGCTGTTTGTGGGAAATTATGTTCCACAAATTGGATCCAACAATCCCCAATATTACAGTACTGCCTACGCTTCATTGGATGTAAAGCACTTTGGATTGGTCTGAGGCAGTGGAAAATGTTACGTGACTGCAAGTTCATCTTTTGTTTGGGGAAAAAAATAGAACTGCCAAGGGTTTGCCAAAATAAGCCAGTTCTATGCTGAATCTTCGACGCACTCACTAGATTCTGGAATTTCCAGCAATTACAGAATATCTCCAGAGATTGTCCCCACGATGCACCACACTGACTGAAGGGGCCCCGTTGCCATGGAGGGCCGCACTGACTGAAGGGGCTCATCTACAGGCAGCATCACACTGACCAAAGGGTAAGACTTTAGAGCAGACACTGGCACAATTTACCAAGTGCTGTAATATAGAAGAGCAGTGGAGCTCTCCCTGGTGCTCAGGGCTAATAAGGAACCCTCAATTAAAATTATTTGCAAATGATCTGGTCATTATTAAATTGGCTGTAACATTTTCTGTTTTACCACAGTAACTACGCTTCAAAAGTACAAACTTTATTTGGCACAAAACGCTTTGGAACATCCTGACAGATTAGTGACCAGTTCTGTACGAGTATATGGTCTCGCTTTTCTGATTTCAACAAGAGAAGCCAGTTCAACTGCTGCCTCACAGCACCAGGGACCTGGGTTCGATTCCAGCCTCGGGCGACTGTCTGTGTGGAGTTTGCACATTCTCCCCATGTCTGCGTGGGTTTCCTCCGGGTGCTCCGGTTTCCTCCCACAGTCCAAAGATGTGCAGGTTAGGTGGTTTGGCAGCGCTAAATTGCCCATAGTGTTCAGGAATGTGTAGATTAGGTGGGTTATAGTAGAGGTATGGGTCTGGGTGGGATGCTCCGAGGGTCGGTGTGGACTTGTTGGGCCGAAGGGCCTGTTTCCACGCTGTAGGGATTCTACGATGACGTCGTACATGGATCTTTCAATGGTCAATTGACGGAGCAATCATCCCATTAACCAAAATAATAGGAGCTTCCTCCAGCCGTCCAGAATGGAGGAGGGATACAGGGTGGGAACAGCAACAAACCCCTTACCTGCTCTGGTGCTACCTACTTCAGCCAATCGCAGCAGCCCTTTCTTCTTTAGAATGACACTGTTGCCGATGAGGCAGCTGGAGAAAATGGCCAAGACCAGGCCAATGTAAAAATCAAGTGAACTCCCTGCTGGATCCAGTGCCAGAGATGCATTCAGGGAAGAGCTTGCTAGATCCTTTACATGGACAATCTGACACAAGGCCTCACAGGAAGTCGAAGGGCACACTAATGTCACGTACGATCCTGTGGAGAGAACAGAAGGTTTTTGAAAAAGTACAAATCTTACCTCAGCTCTTATGGGTTTTGCTGACACAGTCTGGGGCACCTCTTACTTCTGTGGCTTCCATTCCTTTGTGTTCCAGTCCCCCAGGCATAAAGGCCAGCATTTAATGGGGATTTTTGATCATTATCTGTACCTGCTCATGTCCTTTTAATAAGCTGTTGCCAAGACCACCCAACCCCCACTTTAGGCTTTTCGGATTATCACTCCCTACTTCTAGCTTTTTTTCACTTTCCGCAATGCCATGTGTACGTTAGATGCCTCATTTCATGCAACAGGGGCCAACCTTCAAAAATTGGCTTCATTGACTGTAAAGCCCTTTGGGATGTCACAGGGACAAGAATCATAGAATCATTCAGTACAGGCCCACCAAAACAACGCCAAATCTACTCTAGTCCCATTATCCAGCACTATGCCCATAGTCTTGAATGTTAAGACATCTCAAATACTCATCCAAGTACTTTTTAAAGGTTCTCAACTACTCTCCTAGGCAGTGCATTCCAGACCCCTACCACTTTGTGTCTTTCCTCAACTCCCCTCTAAACCTCCTGCCTGTCACTTTAAAATATATCCCCCTGTTACTGACCCTTCAACTTAGGAGAATAGTTTCTTTCTACCCACGTTGTCCATGCCCCTAATAATCTTATATACATTTACCAAGTCTCTGCTCCAACCATCTCTGCTCCAATGAAGACAAACTGAGCTTATATAACAAGGTGTAGAGCTGGATGAACACAGCAGGCCAAGCAGCATCAGAGGAGCAGGAAGGCTGACGTTTCAGGCCTAAACCCTTCTTCTTCAACAACCTGAGCTTATCCTGCCTCTCTTCAAAGCTAAGGTGTTCCATCCCAGACAACACTCTAGTGAATCTCCTCTGCACCTGCTCCAATGCAACCACATCCTACCTATTATGTGGTGACCAGAACTCCACAGAGTACTCCAACAACAGGGAGGCAATGGCCTTAGTGGTATTAATAGACTATTAATCTAGAGACCCGGTAATGTTCTGCGCTCCAGGTACAAATCCCACAATGGCAGATGGTGGAAGCTGGATTCAATAAAGAAATCTGGAATTAAGAGCCCAGTGATAATCCATGAAAAATTGTTGCTGACTGTTGGGAAATAAACAACATCTGGTTCACTAATGTCCTTCACAGAAGGAAATCCGCCATCCTTATTTGGTCTGGCTCCATGTGACTCTGGACCACACTGCAATGTGGTTGACTCTTCACTGCCCTCTGGGCAATTAGGGATGGGTAATAAATGCTGGCCTGGCCAGTGACACCCACATCCCATAAATGAATTTTTTAAAAGCTGTGGCCTAAGCAAAGTTTTGTACAGATTCAACATTACCTCCCTTATAATTAATAATGAAAAGCATTTAACGAATATAAGGTTTTCTTTTCCACAATTCATTATTCAATAAACCAAGGAGGAAGAGGCTGCCAAAGTCATATAAAGGACAACATAATTGAGACAATGAATGGGCTAGAATTCAATAAAGTGTATGCACCAGAGGCTGGCTGTGTCCGAAGTTGATAAGTTACCAAGAGGGGATGGGGTACATCTGAGTATGATGAGGGAAGCCAGACTGGAAATAGTGGAGGTGCCCACCTTAACTTTCCAACCCTCCTTAAATATAAGTGTAGTGCTAGAGGTTTGGATCCCTGATGTGGAGGTGGTGGTCTTGGACTGGGGTGGACAAGGTCAGAAATCACACGACACCCGGTTATAGTCCAACAGGTTTATTTGAAAACACAAGCTTTCGGAGCCTCACTCCTTCTTCGTGAGACGTGACATTTTAGGTCAGACAATACATGTTAGGTTTGAGGCGTTGTTTAGAATCTGTTTGTATTTTGGTTTGGAGGAATGCCACATTAACTGACTGTCTATAAATGGTGTGCTTTTTGAGCAAAAGAGAATGTATCTGCAAATACTAATTCACTCCATAGATTCACGTGTGTGTGTGTGTGTGTGTGTGGAAGAGGGAGACAGAGAGTGTGTGTGTGAGGGAGAGTGACCTAAAATGTCACGTCTTCTTTACATTGATAACACCTTTAGTTCTCTCAGGGCAATGACTTGAAAGGAATTTGGGGATTTACATATACATATTAATCAATTAAAACCTTCTAACTGATTCAAGATTTAACAGCATCTTAGGTTTATTTAATACATTCTCATCAGTGGTGTGATTCTTTGATTTTTTACTTATAAACTCTGTGTCTGATACCACCTCACTAACACCTGAAGGAGGAGCGAGGCTCTGAAAGCTTGTGTTTTCAAATAAACTTGTTGGACTATAACCTGGTATCATGCGATTCCTGAGGTTTGGAGAACTGAAAACATTATGGCCTTGTTAAAAAAAAGATACACCCAGCAACTATAGCGTGGTTGATTTAACCACTACTTTTAGAAATGGTGAGAAATTAACAATCATAAGGACATGGATGCATTAATTAGAAAAAGCCAGCAGAGATATGTGTGAAGAACCCCATTATTATAATAGCTAACATCCATAGTCTTAATGATTTATTATTGAACCAGACCACTGCATCTAACCTATCGATGTCTCTTTACAATGTTCTGCTTCCGTGTCTAAATACTATTTACATTAAACTAGGAACAGTTCGTTTTAAAGTGTGAGCTGTTTGCATTAAACCAGCAGTTCACCTTAAACCAACAGCAGTATTGATCTACTGAATGAAGATGATTAAACAAGGACAATACAGCACTTAAAGGAGGCAATTCCATTCATCATGCCTCCTGACCTCAAACATTACCCCTATCATATATCTGCTGACTAACAGCAACCTATGAACAGGCTGAAACTATCCATGCTACACCTCACTTACTCACCGCATGATGACCTGTTTGAACTACCTACTGAGATAACAAGGTGCAGAGCTGGATGAACACAGCAGGCCAAGCAGCATCAGAGGAGCAGGAAGGCTGACGTTTCGGGCCTAGACCCTTCTGTGTTCATCCAGCTCTGCACCTTTTATCTCAGATTCTCCAGCATCTGCAGTTCCTGCTATCTCTCGACCTACCTACTGACTCACTTTCAACATTTATAGTGCTAGGCTCAAAATAGATATCTCCAAACCAGATCACTGAGGGTTAATTGAGCAATGAGCAACTGAAGTGGAAAAGTACATGAGAAACAGCCGTAATGCAAAAACAGCAGTTAGAGACCTTGAGGGTTGGCAGGAACCATTGACTTGTGCAGTCTACATGGGCCCACGTATTTTCGAGGTCTGTAAAAGTACTGAAAGTACTATGAAATGGTGACACAGTGCACAACCAGATTATTAATAATATCTGGAACTCTGTCCCACTCGTTGGACTTTCTCCATTGGGTCAGGTTTGTTAGACCAGGCCGTGGACTTTCACCGTCGGGCTGGGTTCAAGACGCGGTCCATGGAAACTGAGATAGAGCTCCAAGTGTCAGCTGTCACCCAGAAGTCCCCAACAGACAGAAGGCAGTGAGTCTCACTTGTTGAATATGTCTCAATAAGTTCAAACTAAGACAGTGCCTCATTAGTTTGCATGTATCTATAGTAGATTAAGCTAATAAATTTGCTTTTTCTCAAAACACACATGTCTTTTTGTATTCTTCTTGATGAGAATCTATTTAGGCACATTCAGCCTAACAATATAGCACTGTTAATGGAACAACATTTCTGAGCAAGATCCACCAGGAGACATCCTTTTGATCAGAGTGGGAAACACAGGAAATCGCTAACAAATTCCATCTGCCAAATAGCAGGCTTTGAATGATCACAGCAAGAGTGGTCCTTGCAATAGGTTCAGGAGAGTCAGGGCCCCTGCACAGCTGGATGGACCCCAGCTCCACCACTGGGCTCTGAGTGCAAATCTCTTACGCACTTGTGGAGAGATAAAAATGATGCTGCACATCATAAAGGACTGTCCCCTCTACAGACAAAGTGGCAGACTATTCACCTTAAACTCAGCAAATAATCAGGTTATTGCTTGGCTTTGTGGATTTGCATTTGCTAAACTATGATTTAGCATTTTGCCAAAAGTTACCATTTTGCTTTTTTGTCCACAAAGTTTTATGTTTCAAATATTTATATAATACCATTTTGAAACTGATTATTGTATCATTCCCCTCCTTCAGGTCACACAATCCACACCAACTCACATTATAATTTATTCTCCTCCCATGCCCCATGGCAGTTTTGACACTCATCTGAAATTGGTCTCTCCTGGTTACTGACCCTGGTGCCAATGGGGGCAGTTTCTCTTCATTTACCTCGAAACCCTCTGAGCTTTTGAACATCTCCAATCAAATCAAATAATCAACTTGACTCTGTTTTGAGGAGATTAATCCCAGCATCTCTACGAAAGGGACGTCCTTCCCATTCTACTGAATCCCTCCTGTAGCTTCTAAAATCTTGACAACTTCCCTAAAAAGTGTAGCGCCCAGAACTGATCTCAACAGTCCTGATCACCTCCCTCCTTACTGCTTCCTGGTGGAAACTCTCCCTGGTCTCAAGAGTGAAAAGTTTCTCCTGATCAGGAGAGTTCGATCCAGCCAGTTAGTGAATTCTAAACTCTCTTCATATGACACTGTGGCTGGAGTGTGGCTTTCAATTATGTACTTTGCATCCTCACCATACCCCGCTGACTGAATCCTTCCCCAGCTTTGCCCTTCACCCTCTTCCCACCCAACCAATGCTCTACCCTAGCTCCCCTTTAAGCAGTTAGTTCCTAAGTTGTGATAAGATTGTTCGAGACCCCCGAGCGATCGTCTCAAACAGCTTAATAATGTGTTGGTCAAAGGCATGTCCCAGTGCATTTCGATGCTACAAAATATGCGGTGAACAGAAGTCTGGGAGAGCCAACAAGAACCATTAGGACGAGAGTAGGAGATAACAAGGTGTAGAGCTGGATGAACACAGCAGACCAAGCAGCATCAGAGGAGCAGGAAGGCTGATGTTTCGGGCCTAGACCCTTCTTCAGAAAAAGAGAGTAGACTGTGATAGCTTAACCCTACAACTTGATCTGCCCAGATTCGGAATTGATTTATTATTGTCACATGTACGAAGTTTTTTTTCTTCAAAAACCTACTTTATTCATTTAAAAAAGTGTGTATATACATTGTCACAAATGCAGCTCGGTTCCGTACAGTAGCATTCCAAGTAAACAAACATTTGGATTTGACTCTGACCCAACAAACCGAAGGCATCTCTTACACATACAAAACTATATTCACAGTCTGACGAAGGGTCATCGGACCCGAAACGTTAACTCTGTTTTTCCCTTCACTGATGCTGCCAGACCTGCTGGGCTTTTCCAACAACTTCTGTTTTTGTGCCTGATTCACTGCATCCGCAGTTCTTTCGGTTTTTATTTACTATATTTACATGTATTGGGGTACTAAGAGGGTGCGATAACTGAACGGACCCCCATTTACAGAAATACAGTGGAATCGGGTCCCCCTCTAACACTCAGTTAGCTCTTTCTAACCCTGACCTATCTGGTAAACTTTAGAGAAAGTTGCATGCTGTACTCACCCTTGGAGCAGTTGTGTTCTGCCATCACAGTAGCTTCTTGCATTGTCTAAAACCTTCGCGCAGCTTCTCATTAGAACAGGAGCACAGCAGCTATATCCTCTGTGTGTGTGTGTCTCCCTCTCTGAACGCTGCAATGTGAACTGAGTTTCGCCCCAGCACCTGCTTGAAGCACCTCCCCTCTGCTGATGCTCCACCAGTTACCAGCCTCCTTCAAGCAATGCCTGACACAAGGCACAGCGTCAAATTTCTTTAAACTAGTTCTGCAACTAGCTGCTTCGGCATTTTTTGTTTGGGTGGGGGTAGGGGGAGATAAGAATGAGACACAAGGGAGAAAACAAACTGGAGGTTTTGTTCTGAAGTTGGCATTTCTACTCCAACCTGGTGAAATTTGAAAAAAAAAAATTTCATTAAAACTGATTCTAAAAGCATGGGCTACGTTTCCAGTAGGTGAAGGGGTCAGCATGGGTAGGAGATTAAACGTAAAATTACAGGTATCAAAAGAACAAGGGTGCTGGCCAGTTTATTTGTTTTTCTTCGCTGAGCGGGTTGTGATGGCGAATACACTGCCTGAAAGGGCGGTGCGAGCAACAGTAATTTCCAGACGAGGTTTTGATACTAGAATAGGAGAAGTTTGGACTTAATGCGGACAGAACTAGCGATGGATAGCTCTTTCCAAAGGCTGGCCCACGCAGAATACGCTGTATCATTGTGAACATTCTATAATATAGCAAAGAGTTTAGGCGGGGTGGGTGGGGGGAGGAGGACATCAGGGAGAATCGAGAGGCTGAAACATCCACTCCCAGCATTCATGGGTGAGGCAGAAACTGTGTCAATATTTGAGATTAGATTGGAGAGGTGAGTGAAGGTAATTGGCAACAGACACTCCCTGACCCAGCTGGCCAAGTGTCAATCAGCGTGCACCTCACCAGCACCTCTAATAACCCATCCATTAGGGGGTTCACTGAGGAAGGGTCACTGGACCAGAAACATTAACTCCGTTTTTTCCTTCACAGATGCTGCCAGATCTGCTGGGCTTTTCCAGCAACTTCTGTTTTTGTTCCTGATTTACAGCATCCGCAGTTCTTTCAGTTTTTATTTAACCCACCCATTAGCCCTGATCTGGATAAATAGTCATTTTCTCCAGCTAAATATTGCAAGATGCAATAAGCAGGAGTGGAGCTCCTGATGGGAGTTTGCATGCTCCAACCACCTTTCTTCTTCGTTCTTTTGTTGCTTTTGTAATTTCTTTCTTTTAGTTCTTTAGGTTTTCTTCTTTCGCTACTTACTTTTGGATGGAGCTCGGTCGTGGAGGCAGCGGCCGGGGGACTTTGGCGGTCAGCCACGAGATGGCTGGTGTGCCCAGGCTCTGGTAGTTGGCGGTGTTGTGCCTTCATCGATATCCGGAGCGGAAACCAAAGCAGGATTCCGCAGCAAAGCAGCTAACGCTGCAATGGATGGCAGCAGCGGCTGGGGCACAGCGTGAACTCGGATGGTGGCAGTGGTGAGGCAGTGGTGGGTTGCGAAGGATGACGGCAGCGGCAAAGCAATGGTCTGGGCCGAAGTCTTGTGAGGGGCGGTGAAGCCTGGTGTACGCAATGGAGGTCAGCAGTGGCAAAGCTGTCTGGGGAGCACAGGCATGTAATTAGTCCAGTGTGTTTTGCAATGAAGATGCCATACCCATGACATGCAGGACCAACGTAGTTTACAAATTACCATGCAAGGACTGCAACAAACATTACATCGGCCAGACCAGAAGGAAACTAGCCATCAGGATGCACTAACACCAGCTAGTAGCAAAATGACACAAAGAACTTTCCCTCAGCTCAGTGCAATCGGACAATGAAGGCCAACAATTTAACTGGGACCATCCTAGCTCAAGCCAACCACTAACACACACAGGAATTCCTAGAGGCCTAGTTTTCGACCCATAATGTAATTAACAAACATGTGGGATTAGACCCCGTATACAAACCTATGCAGAACAGAACCGGAAATGACGCAACCCAACTTAACAGACTGGATCATATAAATACCAAGTGCAGTAGAACAACATCGCTTCATCAGAGGCCTCACTGATGATGTTACCCAGCATGGTGACGAAACGTCTGTACGATAACCTACCACCAGGCAGATAACCCACTCTGTTGTTCAACCTCAATCTGTGAAAACGTGCATTGATATGACATCATTGGGATATTATAACTTGCATTGCAACTGGAGAAGTGTGACATACAAGGCTATGGGTCAAGTGCTGGACAATGGGATTCGAATAGTTAGATGGTTGTTTTTGGCCATGCACACACAATGGACCAAGGGGCTTTTTCTCTGCGGTGTTGTTCTCTATGTCACTGTCATTTTATCAGCACATAAACAGTAAGATCCCTGTGTTGCAGGCAACGGGTCAGTTACCTGTTGTTTTTTCTAGTTGAGTGATAATTATTGGCCACCAGGGAGAAATGCCCGGTTTTTCCTCCAGCACTGCAGGTGTGTCTTTCCCATTTACCTAACAGGATCAGGACATGCTTTAGTGTTTTATTTGAAAGATTCTGAGTGCAGCACTCCCTTAGTACTGTCTCTCCACAATGCAGCACGCACACACAGAGTATCTCCCCTCTGACACTGCAGCCGTCCCTCAGTACTGACCCTCTGACAGTGCAGCACTTCCACACTATTGCCCCTTAATTAGTGTGGCTCTCCTTCAGTATCTCCCTTTCAACATCATTCCATTTGTACTGCCCATCAACTGCACAGCATTTCCTTTTTACTGACTCGCTGACAATGCAGCCCTTCCTCTGTACTCAACTCTCTGACAGTGCTCAATTCCTTCCGTACTGACCCCGACAGAGCAGCACTCCTTCAGCACTGCACTGGAGTTCCGGTCTAGATTTTATACTTATCTCTGGAATGAATCTTGAGCCCAAAAATATCTGACTGGGAAGTCAGGGATGGAGTGTGTGGTGCCTAATGAGCAAGAACTTCCCGTGTTAGGTCAGTTTCCTGCACCTACATCCCAACTGCAGCAGAACAGGCAGAGAAATCTGGAATGGAGTTACTTTCTGAAAGATTTAGGCTGACGTGGTAGATTGAAGTGAACAAACCTCTGGAGTCAGCATTCAGTTTGCAACACTTTCCAAAGTAATTCTGGACTATAAACAAGACAGGGCTGTACAATACAAAATGCAGAGTGCAACAATTGCAATTATTTGTACACCAAAATGTGCAATTTTAAATGACTTATTTTAATGAATATCTATGTTAGGAATTATACTTATTTTATTTCTGTCATCACAGTTTGTATATATGCTACACTAATTATCTAAACCAATTATTTAAGAAGCTGGTAAGTGGATTGGTGAGGTCAGACATCACTCTTCTTTATTCACTCACAGGATGAGGGCGTCGCTGGTCAGGCAGCATTTGTTGTCCATCCCTAATTGCCCAGAGAGCAGTTAAGAGTCAACTACGTTGCTGTGGGTCTGGAGTCAAATGTAGGCCAGACATGTAGGCCATAGGATATAAGCCTCTCGGGAATACAGTGCCATAAACATACTGCCTCACCCTGAGAGTCTCTATCAGCAGCTGCTCCTTCTTTCAGTACCAATGTGAACAGGCTGACTCATCCTCCACTCCTCACCAATATAGTACAAGGATGTTGTAGAGGGGGAAATCAACAGTTACAAGCACATTGTAGATCAGACAGCATCAGTGCAGACAGTAAGGGAGATCACCTTTCACCTGAACTGAAAACTGAAAGTTAAATAAATACAGGGGAGACTGCATTGTGACGAGAACGTGTAGGGAATATCTTCTTCCCATTTCCATGCACAGATCTGAGTGATCTATCATTATTCCCTACGACCATCTCCCAATGACACATCATTGTTCCCATTCCCACTCACAGCTCTAAGTGACCTTTCAATATTCTCATTCCCATTCCCATTCCCAGATCCCAGTGACCCACCATTATTGCCATTCCAATCCTCCTATACCAGTCACTATTCCCATTCTCAATTCCCAGTGATCCATTATTATACCCAATCCCATTCCCACTCTGTCTGCGCCCAAATGGAGTCTTTCTCCTGGAAACTGTGCAATGATCTGTTCTGAATACAGGCATCAGTTGGGTTCTCTCACTGGTTGTAAGGCTTGTTGGGATGACCTGGGAAATGTAAGGTGATATATCAATCATGAAGTCAAAATAACTCCTCAATTGCAACCTTCATCTGTGTTAGTGCTCATGTTTAATTATCTTTTTCTTTTGCAAACAGGAACATCTTCAGCCAGTGATCAGAAGTTGATGCTATGGTGTTATTTGTGTATGGATGTAGATACATATAAAGTATGTACGTGTGTTATTTGTATAAGTGTTTTGTGCACCCGTGTGTCTAGGTATATGTGTTTGAATTTGTTTTTGTATGTGTGCATTTGTTTAAGTTGTGCACTAGGAGACATGTGAGCATACATGCACATTGTTAAGATCTTTCTAACTTGTATATATGTAACATTTTTACAATTTATTTTGTATAATAAACTTGGATTATTTTGGTTAGAGAAACACTAGTAGCTTTGTGTAAATCAATTCAGTGATTAGCCCCAGAGGACCATAAAAGTTGCTCTCTCATTACAGAAAGACAATTTGTGGTGAATTTGAGGGTCACCATGTCTCAGGCAAGGGGTGAGGTTGAGAAGGCAGGACTTCCAAGGCAACCTCAGCCGGTGGTATCACTCTGCATCACAATCCAGCCGTCCAGCCAAATGAGCTAACCAACCCCACCCCCGGCATTTCAGTAACCAAAGTAAAAGATCAACTTATGATCTAGCAACAACAAAAACAAAGTTGCTGGAAAAGCTCAGCAGATCTGGCAACATCTGTGATGGAAAAAACAGAGTTAACGTTTCGGGTCCGGTGACCCTTCCTCAGAACTGATGGTGGCTGGGAAAACGTCAGTTTGTATGCAGAAAATAGGGAGGTGGGTGGGGTAGGGAGTAAGCGATAGGATAGAGCCCAAAGAGAGAGAAAGACAGTTGGACAGACAAAGAGTTGCTAACGATCAGGCTGGGAGGGTGAATAGTTGTTAATGGGGACTGTTAGTGACTAACAACAGGGGGTGTGT